CAAACTTCACCTCTTCCATGTTGTGGATATTTCTTTGCAGATGTTTCATGGGGTGAAAGGTCTATAAAGGAACATGTATTTGTCTTCCACTTCTAGTGATAACAAAAGCTACAATAATTTACAACTTATGCCAAACTTGTTCCTAACATTGTTTGCGGAAGAATATTGCTCGATTCAAACATTTAAATGTAATTCTACTGTCCTATAAGCTTATGTCCATAGTTTGCTTAAATACCATTTCTAAGATTCCATCCTTCAGTGTAGCATATAAAAGCAAAATGATCCAATACAGTATTATATACAGTAAAAATAAAATTTGCGTCAATTTTGACTGGAAAAGCAACTATTCTTCATATAAAATATATCTATCAATAACTTCAAAATAGTTCTCTATCTCAAACCGCCTATAACTACTTACCATTTTAATGATTTCAATATTCTATAAGATAACAAAGGAAGAACTGAATATTTTCATAAGTTTTGAAAATAGAGCAATCCATACTTAATTCATTAGATAATAAAAGGCATATATTGGATTTAATAAAAGATTTATTTTTCCAATATTTCGGCTGGCTGAACGCCAACCTTTATCGAGGCATTACATTAGGTGTATACAGTTTGTGTATACAAAAATGTAATGCCTCGATAAAGGTTGGCGTTCAGCCAACCGAAATATTGGCAAAATAAATCTTTTATTAAATCCAATATATGCCTTTTATTATCTAATTTTCATAAGTTTGAAGATTTATATAGATAAATACATTATTATTAAAGTGCATTCAATTCTATATGGGGATCGGTGGAAGGATGGTCAAAGGTTTAAACTCTAAACCGTTGGTTTTCGACCGCTACGATCCGGGAGCAAATTTCGCATTGGGAACTTTTTTTTCTAATAAAAAAGAATAAATGCTTCAATGACCCTGATTCTTGAAAAAGTCCAACCCCACCAGTGAGTGAAATTAAACAAACGGGGCTCTGGCACATTCGTAAGTGCAAAAGTCGAACTGTTTTCACATGTGTAGACATGTGTATTTTACGGTTGCTAACTTCTACCCAACATGATTATCATTGCCTGTACCACCTGTATTAGGGATAAATAATAAAAAAACAAGTCTATTCATTTATTTTTATTGAACTTTTCAACCTGTATTTCACACACAAATAACTTACCTTAATATTTGAATATTGTATTAGTAACTTGTATCTTGAATAAAATGTTCATTTAGAGTGACAAAATGTTCAAATATATGATAGGAATTCAATATCCAGTTGGTATATGAAGTTCAATCTATTTATCTATGGATTTTCATGTTTTTTATATATAGGGAGTCGCTGGAAGGATGGTCTAAACCGTTGGTTTTTCACCGCTACGACCCGGGTTCGATTCCCGTATTGGGCACTTTTTTTCTGATATAAAAAAATGCTCCAATGGCCCCCGATTCTTACAAAAGTCCAACCCCACCAGCGATTGCAAGTAACCAAACGGGGCTCTTACATATTTGTAAGTGCAAAATCAAACTGATTTTCACATTTGTAGACATGTGGCGCACTTGCAGTAAAGGCAGTTGCCTTCTTCTACCCACCATGATTATCATGACCTGTAAAATGACCAAAAAATATTTTTAAAAAATTTATAACTAACATATGCCCTCGTTAAATTTGAACCAATTATAGTATCTATAGAGCTGAAGATATTTATCGTCAACATTGTAATAGTCTCTTACTGATTGCTTCCACACAACGCGCGCGTGTATGGTATTAATATAAAATAAAGTAATTGAATTAATAAAGATAGTTGGTTTGTAACTTAAACCTCTTAGAACACAACTAAATGGTATTAGAGGCATGTGGATTGAACGACGCTCTGCTACTATTTTTGGGGGTTTTGAGATTTAAGATACAAAAACCAACTCCTTTTATTATTTAAATTAATTTATTATAAAATTGATAACAAACACATTATGTAGCAATCAGTAAGAGAACAGTTACAATGATGATGATAAAAATCTGCAGTTTTATTGATAAAATATTTATCTATGAATTTTATAACTAACATTTATCGTTATTTTTCATGTTAAATCTACATGTACATATAAGGTAATATATTGTGATAATATAAAAGAACAAAAAGGAGATTATTGTGTAGAACAATCCGCTAGTTTTCGAATGGCATCCTTCTTCAACGGGCGTGAAGATAAAGCATAACAATATGTAGAAGTATAATGAGAGACAAGTAATATGCAAATATGTAACTAACATAATGGCAGATAGAATTACGTAGTGAGAAATTAAACCAGTTATGTAAATCTATTTATTTAGATTGAAAACTCTAGCTGTCATTGTGGCAGCGAATATCAGGATTCAAGACACCTACTGCTGGAATGCCCACTCTTCTTCACCGCTAGACAACAGACAATAAATAATGTTGTAGATCTATATCAATTTGTAAATAGCAGAGAGAATTATCATAGATTTAGCTATTTTTGAAAATATATTTATGATTTTCTTTCAAATCTGAAAGGCTCAGGTTCCTAATATATATTATTGTTTCTCTTTTTATTTCGATTACTTTTTCTTGTATAATATGTTTATAACTGTTTCTGTTTAAAAAAATGTAAATCGGCGCAATTATCCCTAGCCGGGATATCGCGTATTGTGTGTTGAAATAAAATAAATCGATTTATTTGGGTAAGAAAACATTACTTTATGATTATTTCTGCCATCATGTAAGTTACAAATTTGCATATAAATTGTCTATCATTGTACTTTTACATATATTTATGCTTTATCATCACGCCCGTTGAAGAAAGATGTCGTTCGAAAGTTATCGGAATGTGCTACACAAGAATCTCCTTTTTGTTCTTTCCTATTATGGCAATATAATAATGGTAAAAGTTATTCTCTACATCCATCAAAATATAAGACAAAGCGTAGTTCAATCCACTGATCTCTAATACTATTTTGATGTCCTTTTTAAAGGTTTAATTTACAAACAATCTCCTTTTATTATTTGAATTTACTTATTTGATATTGATAACAAACACATTGTAGCAATCAGTAAGAGAACAATCACAATGATGGTAAAAAATCTTTAATTAAAAAGGCATATATTGGATCAAAATATCATTTATTTTACCAATATTTCAGTTGGCTAAACGCCAACGTTTATCAAGGTGTTATAACATTTTAAAGTGTGTCAACAACAAACTCAGCGCCACATAATGTCAACAGCATTAAGGTTTTAAAAATATTTTGTTATATTCAATGGGGAGAAAATATACATAACATAATATAAATATATATATCAAAATATTTCTTCCCATTGAATATAACAAAATATTTTTAAAAACTCAATGCTGTTGACGTTATGTGGCGTTGAGTTTGTTGTTGACACACTTTAAAATGTTATAGCACCTTGATAAAGGTTGTCGTTCAGCCAACTGAAATATTAGTAAAATAAATGATATTTTGATCCAATATATGCCTTTTTAATTAAATATTTATCTATGGATTACTCTATTTTCAAGATGATAAAAATATACAGTTCAATTGATAACGAATTTACCTATGAATGTTATAGCTAACAATTATTACTATTTTTCATGTTAAATCTACATGTACATATAAGGTAATATAGTTAGGAAGAATATTGATCCATATTAATCTTATTGTATATAGGAAATATTAAGGAGGAAGATAACTGACAAAAGTTGTAAGGGCGGTAGTTGCTATCGGACTTCTCAACTCCAACTGTCTCGGCGCACGCCAAAGTTGGAGAGCGGCGCATGCGTACAGTCCTGTGGGGTCCGGAATGAGTCCGGAGTGCGATGGATCGGGTCCGTGACGTGTGGCTGTTGGCGGTGGCGGCGCTGGGACTGCTGGCTCCAGCGGGTAGGTCCTTTCTTCTCCAACACCTGTTCTGTGTCGACTTTACAACACTCACTGAAAGTCCGAGCTAGATATCTAACTAGAATATTGGAAACTTATAGAATATCTTTTATAAAATTAATGAAAAGATAATCATTTTTAATCCACTATAATACTTTTTGAATGAAGAGGTATATTCCAAAACACTAAAAAATATCTGTAAAAAGTTATTTGATCCACGTTACGAAGGATAGGAAGGTGCTTAGAGAATTACTCTGTAAATACCATGATAGTTGAGTTTCTTTATTTCGTTCTTTAGAGTAATCTCCTTTGGGTACAAATACAAATAATAGTATATCTAATTAACACATTGTGTTCAAATAATCGAAGCATTAGTTATGTCTTTTGACCCAAGTTTTGACATGTTCATTTATTGTCTCGTACTTTGGTTAATTGAGGCAGATTTTATCTGGTACACTTGAGAGAAAAGAGTATGCAAATACGGAAGTTGCAATCGCACCCTTGCGCAAAACTTTATTTGTGGTTAATATATATATCATAGTTTGTTGTATTTTAAAAGTTGCCTCACACAGCCGGTGTATACCTGTCACGCGATATGACCATCTTTTGTATTATAGCGAGCAATGTGAATTGATCTTACAAGTAAATATTGAGTATGGACTGATACAGAAGAATTTATAGACTCGGGTGTTCCCTAGACGATCCTGTGTAGTCTCTGAAATAAAAGTAAATATTTAAACAGGAAAGGATTAAGGTAGAGTTTATATAAACACGCTTTGTTTTCCTTACATTACCTTAATCACTTATTACAAACTCTCTCGCAATCTTTTAGAAAATACTAAATGACAAATGAAATAAAAATAGCGGAATATAACGTTCAGGTATGTTTTTATAAATACCAAATGTATTTTAACATTGGTTACCTTTACATATCCACCTTTAAAAGAAAAATATTTATACAATATAATGCGGTTTATGATTGTAAAACGACATTTTAAAATATCCCGCATGTGTTTCTTTTAAAGGAAAAATCGAAACTTATTTAAAGGAGAAATAACGACTATTTCCAACCTTAGGGATGAGGTATGAAATATTTAATTGTGAAGAGTGATGCCTATTGTGAAGGGTAGCCTAGTGGACATGGCATCTACCCGGTAAACTAAACACTGTGGGTTCGAATCCCATCCCTGGACACTTTTATTTTTCTGTTTATCATTACTCTTCTCACAATTCATCCTTTCATACTTCATCTCTAAGGTTGGAAATGGTCGTTATTTCTCCTTAAAATAAATTTCGATTTTTCGTTCAAAAGAAACACATGCGGGATAATTTTCAAATGTCGTTCTACATATTCATCTATGGCTGGGGTTGGCAAACTGCGGCTCGTGAGCCATATGCGACTCTTTATATAGTTCCATTCCCATTATTTATCCGAGTACTATAAATTGTTGGCAAGAAAAAAAATGTTATGGCTTTTAAAAAACTTTGTAAATTGTAATTTTTGACTCTTCCGAGTTTACCTAGCCCTGATCTAGGGCACAAATAACATCACCGCTGTTCAAAGAATACGAACTTATACGGTATTCAATTATTGAACTTTCTAGGAAAGTTGGTAGAATTCCAAATATACCTCAGGTACACAAGTTTTCACTCTACAAGATATTAGTGATGTTTATTTCAGTGAAGACATCCTCACAAGGGAAGTAACATCAATCTAAATTGCATAACGCATATTGGTATATTTACATATTTACACAATAATATATGTTCTTCTTCTTCAGACAAAAGTGATGAATGCATTCACTTGAAATCAGCACTTTTGTCTGAAGATGGTAACAACTCTGTTACTGAAACGTCCCACACTATTTATTTATTTTGTATTTGGTCTTATTAACTTGTGTATATTTGGGTATATGGCTAGATAAAAATAAATAACTTTGCCATATTCTCTCATGTTTGTATTCTCACCTTAATTTGTCTACATGATAATATAAAGAGTTGGTCTCCAGATATTTCCCCTCAAATAAAGAGAGATTGAATAAATCTACTTTTATCTTACTCTCTAAGTTCCATTTTCAACAATAAAGGTTATTACAAAAAAAGTACAAAACGCTCCGCAATTCCTTTTATTTGCTTGGTAAAAAAACATCTGTGCAAGTCCTTCTTCAGCCAACTAAAACGTATCAACAAATCAATGAATACAAGATAAAGGTAAACAAAGTATAAACAAATATTATATCTTATGATGCATTAGCGCGCCATCTGTTATCAAAATTCGAAACTATTATAGACGTGTATGATTCTTTTTAAAAACGAATATTTCTTTTCATAAATAAATCAAACTCTACTGTCCTTACCGTGATGACAATATAGTTTGATGGCTACCGAAAATCAAGTTCCTTACATGGTAGTCCCAGCTATATTCGCCTGGAGTTCTGAAGTAGTATTGAAGATAGCAATAATCGAAATAACCATTACAGTAAGGACAGTAGAAATTGTTTATTTTTTAAAAGAATCATACGAGTCTATAATAGTTTCGAATTTTTTTTTTTTATTCAACTGTAAATACAAAGCGCGATGTCCCGCCAAGGACACTGGCGCCCAAAGGAAAGCAATACAAGAGAGAGAGAGGGAGAATCTATTTATATATCCAAAAACATATGCACAAGGCATTTACATATTTTTGAAATTGGTTTCAAACAAGCATACTATATACATAGGTAATTTAATTTAAACACACCTCAAAATAAAGAAAAAATGAAAAAAAAATCATATATACAGCACATAGTTACAATTATACCTAACACTTGAGATTATTTAAAAACTTTGATATAAATTTACAAAATCTATTGAATTCAATGTATGAATCCCTGCTGTATATCAGTTCTCTTGGATCGATACAGAGAATACCGTTATTGAGTCTGTAGTCTTGAAATGCTGGGCACTTAAGTAAAAGATGAGTAGAATCTTGAATGCGGCATCCAATTTTGGAATATAATATCTCTTCAGCACCTTGTTTATACTTTTTAGTTAACTAAAGAAGGACTTGCCAAAACATATTTTACCCAGCAAATAAAGAAAGTTGCATCGTCTTATGTTTTATTGGAATTTGTCGAAATCTAAAATTCTGTTATAATGAATAAGGGTTATGCCGATCTTTAACGTATTTGTTCAAATGTCCTACAAGGTATAGGTGATGTTGGTAGAATGAGAACATACAAAGCAATAACGCGCCATCTATATATAACGAATTAAGACATTAAGACGCGAATGTTTCTTTTCACAAATAAATCAAACTTTTACTTTCTTACTGGGATAACAATATATTTTGATGGCTGTCGAAAATCAAGTCCACTTCATGGTAGTCCCAGCTATATTCATCTGGAGTTCTGAAGTAGTTCAGAAGATGGCAGTAATTGATATAAATGATATATCTTACTGTGAGCTAAATGCAAACTTTGTGAAAATATTCATATTTGGTTATTGATAAATGTATTAACGACACAATTAAAAATAATTTATAAGATATTGGTAACAATAGGAATATAGAAAGGAAGACACACATATATGTAATATTGTTGCAAATGTGATCCTACCGACGTATGGATGAACTGGCAGTCGTGTACGTGAGGCGAGTGTTGAAGTTCTTCCCACACACGGACAACAAGAAGCAGAGGCAGGGCTAGATGTTAGCACCGAGAGTGATCGGGGACAGCCCACGGGACAGAGGTAGAGGCCATGACACAAACTTGGATGCCTATCACCGAGACTTGGAGAGAGAGAGAGAGACTGCGAGAGACCGAAGCCGTCTGTAGATGGCCACACCCTAGAACATCTGCTGACCCCCTACCAAAACCTGTCCTGTTTTCAAGGGTCGTCTATAAAGAGTCCCTGGGGGCCCCACATGGGCTGGGCGTTGGCTTTTTCCTCCACTCTGTCCCCAGCTGACCGTTCTTTGGATATTTATTTTGACGTCACCAATTTTAGTTTGAATACAAATAGGGGTTTGCAGGTATTATTAATAAAGATATAGCATATATACAAAATATGGGGTGGTAGCAAATAGAAACGGTGTACATTTTAATAGAAGGGTAGGATCTTATAAGGTATCGGCTCTAACTAATTAGAATATTTGTAACATATACTAAAAGTGTCATTATTATACAGTTTAAAATATACGATATATATATGTAAATTCGAAACTATTATAGACGCGTATGATTCCTTTGAAAATTAAACAATTTCTACTGCCCTTACTGCAATGCAAAAATTAATGGGAGGGCCTGGCTCATCAGTGGTGAACCTTACCAGCGGTTTCGCCAGTTTAATTTACCATAACAGATGGCGCGCTAATGCATCATAACATATGTTTATTATATGTGTGTTGAATAATAAAACACCATTAAATTTTTTATCAATACATCAACGTGTTTGGGATATAAAATGAGTGTATGAAACACAAAATATGCAAATATGTTTTCCGAGAGAAAAGCAATCATTAAAAATAAAGAGCATTTCCCCGTCAAAAAAGACAAAAAACCAATATCCCACCTATTGACCGTTTTATCATTCTACCAGGCTCTCTCGGGATGTTGACAAGGCTATAACACCAGCTTCAGACAAAATCAGATCGCCGACAATGGTTTCATACTATGACCCTGGGTGGCTTTGATTACATTATATCTACCTGGGAGTCATGGAATCTACTGAATTTACCAAATATGTATTTAGTGGACAAAGTGGCTGTATAATCTCTAGGGCTAGAACATTAAAGCTTTGCCATCAAGAGGATTATGGTGCTTCTGAGTTTCTAAAAATGTACCTCTACAAGGAATTTTAAAGCTACAAAACTATAGATCTAGGACGTCTGCCTTAGATGTATGGCAAGAATTCTTCTTTACCGTCTTCTATAGAAGTTGGCCACAGTGGATACCGAAGTGTAGGACTATTTTATATAACTGCGTCACAATACACTCGTATATATAAGTTAGTGTATGTATATATGTTTGTCGGCTATACACGTCCACAATAATGTAACTAATCTGGCTGATATTTTAAAAGTATAAAGAGTTGAAACTGAAAAAGGTTGCCCGGGTCATTCCGCTAGTAGAACATAAAATTGGTGGTTTAATGGTATTAAATAAATACAAATCAATTTTTATATCATTGAGTGTAATCTTTTTCTCAATGTTCTGTGCACGGATTTTGCGTTAATATTACGGTGAAATTGTGTTTTTTTGTTGTTGTTGTTAATGATTTTTTACACACTGATTATTTTAATAAAATCCTTGTTAAGCCACAAATGGCTTCAATGGCTATAAAAAAATAATTTTTATTAGCGATCGAACGTTGTGGCCCACTGTACATATTACATTCCGAACACGATACAACGCCAACGATCTCTTTAACTATACGAGTGAGACAATACAGAATTTATATCAAGATGGTGTGGGAAGGTGGAAGGAAGAAGAAGAGGTTTGACCAGACACATGTGGGGTGGATGAACAAGAGAATTGAAGAAAGATCGATGGCAGGAAGATAGATTTTGCCTTCAAACACGTCAACATCTTCCAGTTAGAATTTTCCCGAGATATCCTAGGATAATGGATGATCCAAATAATAGGAAATTAAATATAATACATTACCTCTCTCTCTTCTTTTATAGAAATTTACTATCTTGTTGCTAATTAATGTCAATTATTAATGTAATGTATTTATAATTGTGTGTGTGTGTTGGATTAAGTTATCACATATATATATACACATAGATGCAATTTCAGTATCATTATTAATGGTTATTGAAGTGTTGGAGACTTTCAATTATATAAATTATAATCCCAAGTTTGAAAAATATCAGAATTAATGAAAGCGAATCTATTATTTTTAAATAGGTTTCACAGCTGTGTGTGTGTGTGTAACTGTTTTCTCTTTCATTATATTTTACGTAAAGTTACTTATTCACTTCAAAGCTTAAGATGAAATATGATCTACAAGGTAGACGTGACGTTTGACCTATGTACAAATCTACCCAGCCTTCTCTCTCTCTCTTAAAGAAGTATTGATTTAAATATATATTTTGTAAAAATGTAAATTATATATAAAAGTTTGGATTGAAAGAATCGCTAAATAGATCTTAAATTAGAATAGTACAGCAATGATCAACGATACAATTTTATTAAGCCGTGTATAAAGGC